GACTGTATTCTAGTTATCTGAAATCAAGTATCAAACTACAAAACACCAAGGCTTACTACTTTCGTCTTAATTCAATCCATAATCCATTCTACGATTATCAATTCAACAATACTTCTCTCAATCACAATTCTTCATAAGAAAATAATAAAAAAAACAAAGAGGTAGCACCAAGCTTATCCCGCCTTATGACTCTCACAGTTTGGCCTTGATCTCTCTTTCTTCAACCTATTTATCCTACCAAAAAGATGATCTGTTGGCCAGCGGAGTCCAAAGGTTATGACCCTTTGAATTCTTAACCATTTATTCCACTAACAACTTACTGTTGCCAACTAAATTGCCTAAGCATCAGTCTAATTCTCAAGGATATCAATAACCAATCAATAACTTACCACAAAGTTTATTTACCTATTCTACATCTCTTCTAAGATATGGCTTCAAGTGAGGGTGAAGGTTTGAGAGTGATTGAAAAGTTTAGAGGTGACAATTTCTACCATTGGAAGGTCAAAATGGAGCTTTTGTTGATGTCTTTAGATCTTTGGGACATTTTAGATGAAAGTTTAGAACCTCCAACCATGCATGCTGATACTAAAGAGAGGAAGGACTTCATAAGACGTGAAAAAAAGACTTTTGGCATGATTGCCTCTAATTTGGATGAAGCCAACTTTTCTCACATCATCTCCAGCTGAAGAATGGAATACTCTTTGCAACATATATGAGAGCAAGAACTTGTCTAATATCATCTTCACAAGGAGAAAATTCTTCACTTGCAAGATAGAAGAAGGTGAAGACCTCATGGCTCATGTCAACAAAGTAAAGGCCCTTGCTAATCAACTTGCTATTGTTAACAAGCCTTTAGAAGAGAGTGATATTGTCATGACCTTGCTTATGAGCCTTCCCAAGTCCTACAACTATCTCATTGTGGCATTAGAATCCATCAAAATAAAAGAACTCACAATGGATTATGTCACGACAAGACTTGTCCATGAAGTGACCAAGAGAAAAGAAAAAGAGCTCCAAAGTGAGGATTCGGCTCTCTTTTCAAGGCAAGGCAAGAGGAATCATCCTAACCAATGTGGCAATGTGAGAACTTGCTTCATTTGTGGAAAACCAGGTCACTTTGCTCGAAATTGCTATAAGGCTAAGAAAGGAGATAGAGAAAGTGCAAACAATGCTCGTGATGAATATGGAGGTGATGATTATGCATTCATGGCAAGTGAAGGCACTTCTATGGTTGCCATATCTAAGTGGATCATTGATTCTAGTGCCACCAAATACATGACTCCATATAAGTGTTCATTTGACACTTATGAAGAGATTTCAACAGCAAATATCTTCATGGGAGACAATGGCATAGTACAAGCTATTGGAATGGGCTCCATTGTTATAGAGATTGTTGTGAAAGGCCAAACCAAGAGAATCAGATTGAAGGACGTCTTATATGTGCCAAAGATGAAGAAAAACCTCCTCTCGATGAGTAAACTTATTTCACATGGTTGTAAAGTATAATTTGATAAGAATGGATGTTTTGTAAAGACATTGAAAGGAGATCATATTACAAAGGGCTTTAAAGATGGCAACCTCTACTTCATGAAGTGTAAAAAGGTGAATGAAATTGAAGTGGTGGCATTTGCTGAATTTCTTCAAGATCAAGACAAGTTTGGCATTTGGCATTGACGCCTTGGTCATTTGAATGCCAAGAGCATGAAGGAGCTCCAATCTATGGTAAGTGGCTTAGATCTTAGTCATATAAGCCACAATGCTATGATACTTGCTTATGAAGGTTGTATTGAAGGCAAATAACAAAGGGCCTCATTTCTAAGTGGAGTTGTAACACGTGCAACCAAGTTATTGGAAATTGCTCATTTTGATGTTTGTGGACCTATGAGGATGCCATCAATAGGAGGTGCAAGGTATTTTGTCACATTCATTGATGACTTTTCAAGGAAAGTATGGATTTTTATCCTCAAAGCAAAGAGTGAGTGTTTCACAAGGTTTAAGGAGTTTAAGGCACTTGTGGAGAAGCAATGTGAATGTAAAATCAAGGTATTACGTACAGATAATGGAAGTGAGTATATATCAAAGTAATTCAATGATTTCTTAAAGTTACATGGTATTGCAAGACAAACCTCTACTCCTTATACTCCACAATAAAATGGAGTTGCTGAAAGAGCAAATCGGACCATTATAGAGATGACAAGGAATATGCTTCATACATAACACTTTAGACATGAATTTTGGGTGGAAGCAATAGTGAATGTAGTGTACACAAGAAATAGGTGTCCTACAAGTGCACTTACATCAATGACGTCGGAAGAAGCTTGGAGTGGGAGAAAACCTTGTATTTCTCACATGAGGACCTTTAGATGCATAGCATATGTAAAGATACCAAATTATATGAAATCAAAATTTGATGCAAAAGGTACAAAATGTGTGTTTGTTGGATATTGTGAAGGTACAAAGGCTTATAGGCTCATGTGTTTGGAGACTAAAAAGATCATCAAAAGTCGTGATGTTGAGTTTTTGGAGCACAAGAATACTTGTGAGTACTTGGAAATGTGTCTAAGTGGGAGTAATGGTGTGTTTGTGGACACATCTTCAAATTCAGCAAAGAAAGAAGAAGACAAAAACAATGATGGTTGTAAAGATGGAAATGAAGATGAAGAGGCAAAGAAGGTGGACAAGAAGGCCTCTACAATTGCTAAGACCAGCAATGAAGAACATGAAGATGTTGATGATGATGGTGATGAGGATTATGAACTTTTGAGTAAAAAAAGACTATCTTCAAAAGAAAAGAAGGTTGGAGGTGACCATGGAATGCAACAAGTTGAATTTTCTTCAAATGAAAGGAGATATCCTTTGAGAGATAGAAAAAAACGTGGTGAATGATAGAAGGACCATATTTTTCCTCAAGTAAGTAAAGACCATGCCAATGTTACACTTTTTGCTGATTCGTTGAGTTTATGTGATGCAATGAAGTCCACGAATGCTATGAAGTGAGAGAATGCTGTAGAAGAAGAATACAAATCACTCATGGACAATGGAACATGGAAATTGACTCAACTTCTACCAAATCGAGCTTCAATTGGTTGTAAGTGGGTGTTTAGAACCAAAAAAGATGCAATGGATAATATTGTGAGGTATAAGGCAAGATTGGTTGCCAAAGGCTACTCACAAGTTGTTGGTGTTGATTTTAATGAGACATTTGCTCTCGTGGCCAAATTCACTACCATTAGAATCATTGTGGCAATTGGAGCAACAATAGACTTGGAGATGTACCAAATGGATGTGAAGAAGGCTTTCTTAAATAGAGAATTGAAAAAAGACATCTACATGGATCAACCTCAAGGATTTATTGAAGAAGGCAAACAACACCTTGTGTGTAAGTTAAAAAAATCCTTGTATAGGCTTAAGCAATCATCAAGGGCATGGTACCAACGTATCGACACTTTCTTTGTAAATGAAGGATTTGTGAGGAATGAGGCTGATCATTCCATGTATGTAATGCAATCAAAAGCCTTTCTATTGATTGTTATTCTTTATGTTGATGATTTAATTATTTTGACCAATACTTTGAAAAGGATGGATTCGTTGAAGGCAAAGTTAGCAAAAGAATTTGAAATGAGTTATTTGGAAGAGCTCCACTATTCTTTAGGAGTGGAATTTGTTAGAAATCGAGCTAAGAAGATCATTACATTGAGCCAAAAGAAGTACATTGAAGAAGTGTTGAAATAGTTCAACATGGAGGAGTGCAAGTCCATTACAACACCTTTGGAGGTAAATTTGAAGTTGATGAAGCTCATGGATGAGGAATTTGCTGAAGTTAAAGAAGAAATGAAAGATGTTCCATACAAGGTAACAGTAGACTCACTTATGTATGCAATGGTTGGTACAAGGGTGGATCTTGCATATGCGATGAGTATTGTGAGTCAACACATGTCAAAGGCTGGACCAATTCATTGGGCAACCATTAAGAGGATCTTCAGGTCTACAATGGAGGCGGAATACATGGTAGTAAGTCATGGTGCAATGGAGGCAATATGGCTAAGATAAGTTTTAGAAGACATTGGACTTGTGCAATTGGAAGCAACTCCAATGAAGTGTGACAATCAAGGATGCCTTATTTTTGTCAAGAATCCAAAGCATCATTCAAGGATAAAGTACATTAACATTTAACATCACTTTATATGGGAGAAGATTGAGATGGGAGTAATTGACATGAAATATTATGCAACGGAAGACATGCTTGCTAATTTGCTCATAAAAGCATTGGTGAAGGATAGACATTACAAATTGACAAAGGGATTAGGTTTATTAGCCTTTGACCAATAGCAAAGTAGGAGTGTTAAAGTAAATGGAGGATAAGTTAGAAGGTAAAAGATATTATGTTAGATAAGTTGCTAATGGTCAAAGGATAGCAAAATGATGAAGGAAAGTTACCAAGGTGGCGGCTAAGGTTTAAAGTAGTGGATAGAGTTTTAAGTGGCAGCTAGGGTTATATGGTGGCAGCTAGGATTATATGGTGGCAGCTAGGGTTTAAAGTGGTGGATAGAGTTTTAAGTGGTGGCTAGGGTTATAGGTGGCAGCTAGGGTTTAAAGTGGTGCCTAGATTAAGAGGAATCTAGGGTTTATTTGGATGAAAGTAAGATGAATACTAGCCAAAATGGATGTAACCTCTACCTATAAGTAAAAGGTGTTGGAAGTGAGGGGTATGTCATTCTATACTTCTCTTGTGTCTAACCTTACTGATTTCTACTTACTTATGTCTTGCTTATTGTGTTTCTTCAATATCAACCATAAACAATTATATTCAAAGTCTATAAGGATCTCAAAAACGTGATTGGACAGTTCTAGCAAGCTTCTTCATTAATGGAACCAACTAGGAGGAGGAACTCAAAGTTCACCAAGACAAGCAACATTGAAAAATCAAGAAAAAAGTCAAGAAAAAAGAAATCATGAGGTCGTCATTAGAATAGAATACAATATCCTATTGACAGCCGAAAGGAAACCAAAAATGAAATAATTTATACAAAAGAATCCATAAAGAATACAATCTCAACCAGATGACGGCAATCTCGAGAATGTAGTGTACATTATTAGAAGAGTGACACTGGGCACCCTAAAAGACTGGTGTCTACGACTCATCTATTCACAAACTACTGAAGGGGGTCCATCTAATGTGCGTAACTTCCACTAACAGAACTTAAGACAGATTTCTCCTTGCCAAGGAACCCTAAAAGCTGGCCGTCATTAGCTTGGGCTGTGCTGAAATGTAGATCTCCCCGTACGGTTGCAGTTGCTCAACATCCACGTAGTCCTTCGTCTTCAATACCTACGCAGACCGTATCAACAAGTGCACGAGCTCGTATCAAAATCTGGAGAGAAATCAGTCACATGCTCCTGCCTCCTTGCACAACACATCCCAATCGATCCTCTAACAAAATGCATAACGCGTCCCACAACAACATCAGTCCACAGATTGGTTTCAAGGTTGGAAAGGTAACCCGATCACAGGATTCTTGGCGCACTCATTTCACTTAACCGTCAAGCAAAAGGTGTTCCAAAGCCTGGACACTCTCATGCACAACAATTGCGTCTCGTTTTGAAGACCTTCCGAATAACTGTGGTCACCACATACAACACCCTACAATATGCCCCTCTTCATGCAACTCTCGTACAGCCTCAGCAAAGTGCATACCAAGGTCTCGAAAAACAACCGAGCCGCTTCTTTCCTCGTCTTTCCCCGAAGTGTGTAGTGGAGCCCGATTTTAGGAGACTGCTCCTTTTCTCTAATCTCTGCACCACCGGCCAAGCCGGCGAAGACTCCTTGCAGGTATCCACCTACAGCCCTGTATAAACAAACCACCGTCTACCAATTAAAAGAACACAGACGACCAAGACAGCTGAATACATGTGAACTTGCATTTTGATAACAGCAACCAATCATTATCCCGTAATGGAAAATCGCAGCAAACATGCTCCTACGACTGAGAGCTTGTCACTCCATACTTATGCAATCCTAAACTGGAGAAGTAAGATTTGCCAATGTGCCTTACCTCGTGCGAGCTGACCAGCCACCAAAATCTTGAACGAAGTTGTAATAACTCTCAGCCTCCTCGTGCAGATCGCCTTCATCGTCTCGAAGGAACACTGCAGTTGCAAATACACGATTCTTTTCAGCAACGGCGTTGAGAACGTCACACCCAAGGAACCGTTTCCCAGCACAGAGTACGCCCATTGCAGTGCAACAACCAAGTAGGTTCCATCACACATCATATTAGCACAAATAACACAAACACAACAGCAACGTTCAGAAAAAAAAAACAGATGAGCGCAAAAGCCGCATGCTGCACCTGTTTCTCTTGGCTCCCCGAGAAACCCAAGTTCCTGGTCAAAAGAACACAAGTTAGCATGCTCCTCACCAGACGTACGCAACTCATGCAGTTCAAAACTCCACCAAGTCTCGTCATGAAATCATCTCAAATCCAATCCTGTGCTGGAAATAGCATTAAAAGCTCCCCCTCCAATCTTCCACTGACGCATACCTCTTCCTGAATCTCCTCCTCAACAACTTCTTCCTTCACTGCAACCAACGAAGATGGGCCCTCGTCAATAATTGTCCCGTCGTCCTCCAGCACGATAATAGTTCTTCCATCCACTCCTTCCAGGACTACGGCCTCCCCTCCCGCAACCGCCTCTGCTACGGCCTCTGCTTCTGCAGCAACCTTGTGCAACAACTCCGATTCGATGCCAAGCAAACCTTCGTTTCAGAACCGTCCGTAAATATATTGGGGCGCAAAACCGAAGTAACACACTTCACTATCCGACACCCTCACCATGGCAAGAGAGGGGGGACTCCAAACATCACGTTAATCAACCATCACCATAACAACACTAGTGGACCCGCGGAGGGCGTAGGATTTACACCTGCTTCAGGTGGCAATTCAGCAACTGCCTCCATGACTGGCTCCTCCACAGCCAACTCCAGACCTGGCTCCTCGACCAGCTCACCCGCCGGTTCAGCACCCGCTGCTCGCTCAACTTCTGGTTCCTCCCGGTATGCCTCGGGGGTGACTTCCCGTTCACGCCCAGCTGATGGCAAGTCCGCAGCACCAGTCACTAACACACGGTCATAAAGCACCCGCAACGCGTCGCTCACACCTGCACAAACCATCAGACCTCACTTCTCACTAACAGCCCAACACAAACAAGATTCTCTCCATCACCCGACCGAACCGACCTCTCTCAACCACGGACTCGTCACAAAGTCGAATCCGTACAAAGCCCAGAGGCAAGGCAGCAATCGCACACAACGACCACAATTTCTGGCACTTCCCACGATGACTCGGCCCACGCTGCAATAGTAAGACAAACGTTGATGGGTACCAGGCACGGAAGGCTCGCTAAAGATTTGTTGTCCTATTGTCTGTCTGTGCACGATCCACAGCTCACTCCGAGTGCATGGAGCTTTCTTGCGCACCCTCCGAATGTCACTTGAATTCGCCAACTGTTGCCTCATCACGCTGAACACAGTTCATCTCAACCCAAGTCAGCACGTGCCTCTCCAACCAAACGCAACATTGCATGTTTCTCATAACCTCAATCATGTTCCACAAAATCCACAGCGATGGACCAATAACGCCTCCTTACTCTCCATGCAGAACCGTCGCCGCGTCAAGCACAAGCTTCCTCTTCTTGCCCACAGCCTTTGGACCCCGCCTCACCCTCCGAGCAGGAGCCTCCTCACTGGGAGTAGCCATGACTCTCAAAGATGGTGTAGCCCTGGCCCCTGTTACCAGTCAACGCTCAGAACCATCCTCATGTCATGCATTACGCAACATACAAGTATCACCACCATCTGCGGATCGCTACTCATCACGGATACTCTAATCAACATACCCTTCAGATTCATTCGCAACCATGACCCAGGGCTAACAGTATCTGCAACACCACAGGACGTAACCACCATAATCCCACTGAGCACATTCTAGCCGGGACCACCAACAACCGCAACACTGTGAAACATCTTCTCCGAATCACACGACTCAACGATAGTGCCACACACCTAAAAATGTTGCCAGCACATCTTCATCGCCTGGTAGCTCAAGACTGGGCCTCCTCGGTGATATCAGGCCAGGGATCGCTTCTACTGAGATTTCTCGCAGTTCCTCCGCAATCTCAGCAACCTCCAACGGCTGCTCCATCGGTTCAACGGTGACCCTACAATTCCATGTACACGTTACAAAATCATGCTCAATACCCGCTTGCTAAACTGCTAGAGGCTCCTTCTTCCAACTACGGTCTCCAGACGACCATCCACCGCTGGTCTCTCCATCCATATCGTCTCTAAATATCATCCACACTGCTGAAACTGAAATAAACACCAACTTCTGGGGCTCAAGCACATCACAGTAACATTCACAAACCCTCTAAACGCCAAATCCAACAAAACCTTCCGTATCGAACACTAAACTCTGTGCGTTCCAAGACAACACTGAATGCCAGTTCCTCCTTATCACATTCGGGTGTCCAACCTACAGTCTGGAGATATTTACCTGGCTGATACGTCCCTCCTCAACCTCGCCGTTTCCCTTTCAAGAGCGAACAGATCAGTGGGCTGCTCAGCCGGCGCAACCACTGTAGCCCGGAGCATCTCCACTTCCGGAACCTCTTCCGCTTCAGGTTCCGGAACCTCTACCAGTTCTTCCTCCACTCCTACCATGGAAGGAGGAGCTGGGGGCATCGGCTGCAACTGCTCCAAATCCATGGCCTCCATCTGGTCCAACCGGTCAAAGTCGATCCGATATTCCTCCATCCGATCTTGCAGCGTTATGAGTTCGCGGGTAGTGACATGGTCATCCGTAACCCTGTTCGTCCGACACCACCCATACAAATCCCTCTCAGACCAAATTGCTTGGATGCTCTCAGAGACAACAAGTGACTTCAATTCCAATACTCAAATGGACCGCATTCTGTTTGCAAAACCTCCACATAATCCCAAACACCAGATAGGCACTCAATCACAAAACCCTCGCCCAAGCGATCACCAATACAACATCCACGCCTCCCCCGCTCACAAGTCACAAGTTTCACCAGGCAACACTTGAATCCCTCTCCCACGCCAACCACCAACAACCAAGTCACCCGTGCCCGCTGGCAAGAAACACGCTTTACCTTTCCACAAGAGGCTCGAACTCGTCAAGATCAAAACTTTCTGGCAGAGTGATCGCCTGAAATGGAGCTGTCGACGACTCCGGCGGAAGGTCCACAGCCCCCGCCTGAAACGCCTGCTTGATCTTTGTTAGCGCTTCGCTGCAGTCATGGAACAGGTAGTTCACCTTTCGGGAGTAAATCCGAACTACACCCAGCAGCAAGTGCCCAGACAACCTCAGAGCAATAGGAGCTTCCGGGAACAAAATGGAGTCTGCCAAATCACCAAACCCACATTGCGACGTATCAGACCACCTACGACAAGTGCATCGCCTTCTCTCACATTCTCCTCCAAGACAAGACCAGATCACACAAAACCCATGCAAATCACCTCGCAGTTGGATATCGCGTGCTAGTGTTCCAGACACCAACCAAATAATGCCCATCCGGCTTACCACACATCACACCTCTCAGCAGTTCAAGGGTTTCACCCCTCAACTCATCCACTACATCATACAGCACATTCCGCACAGATCTTCAAATTAACCCAATCGACATACTCCGTACCCCGCCACAAAATCTGGAGCATCATTGAACCACGCAAGAGTCCTCAAAAGTGCTCAAATTGGCCCAAGGGGTACCAAGAGCATACTGACACAAAAACATCTACACCCAGATTGAAAGACGTCTCGAAAAGAAGAATCATTATCAACGTCCCTTGGCATGAAACGTGCAGCACGGCATACCCGCATTAATCAGCTACATCTATTGTACAGCATTCTCCATTTCCTGAGAGGAAATACGTGGCTCCACGCCCGTTTTCAACAAAACCTCACACCACTTCCTTGACATTTTTTCTCGCACCAGCAGGACATGAGGAATCGAAATCGCCATTTCATCGACTAGCCCACCCTACGTTTCCCTTTCATTCATTAAGAAACCTCACTCAAACCCAACTTTACTCAGTCTGTCTGATTATTCCCTACTACTTGTTCATACATTTTTTTGGTTACACGGCTGCAAACTGGCTTCCAGATGTGTCACCAGGAGTAACTTACAAAGAATGCCCTCTCCAACGTTCGGTTTCCATGCCTTAAACGAGTTAGGAGCACACTTACCGACGGATACGCTAATATTTGTTTCCGTGACCTGATTCTTCCGCAACTTGCGCTCCAAATGAGCAGCTATCCATATGGTCCCCAGCGGACCCTTTTTCGCCAATATCAACTGCGAGTAAAACATCTTGAACCTCGCTTACTCGCCCTTGCCGCTCCAAAGCTTCACGGCCATGCTCCAACGCTACTTTCTAAATATGCCCTAAAGGCGAAGGTAGAAAAACAACTTCCCATGATTCGCCAAATGCTATATCCCAAACGGACAGCCTCACTCTACTATTGCGAGGGCTTCATCCGAAGGTAAATCCAGTTAAGGCCTGCGCACGAACCACTGCTCTTTTGCAACCAAAGCAGTGAGCCTTCATCGTCAGCTTCGGGATCAGTCGGCTTCAGAGTGCTCCCGCTATCTCTTGCCGCAGAATTTAATGAAATAACGAATTTCGCAAACTTTGATATATTCTGAAATCAAACACTGAACCTTCTTGAAAAATCCCGAATCGGCTGTGCGGAGTGCTTTCGGAAAGAACAAACTTTATTCAAGATGCCGCGAGTCAAACGCAAGGAAAGATCTCTTTGAATAATGAAACAGCCTCTTAGAACTTGCTCGGTTCCGTGCACTCGTGGTCCCAGACAGATACTGCTAAAAGCATGCAAGGATACGCATTCAATGCACAAGCCACTTGTAGAGCTCCACAACGTCCCAGAACTTCTTGCAGCTTCGACACAGATCAAAATGAAAAATTCTAGGCTAGTTGATATCAAAGTCCGAGAATCAGACTTTAAATTGCAAAAAGAGTCACTGTTACGCCAACCTCTTCAACCTGCTGTCTCACTTCAACGGCCCTTGCCGAAGCCCATGGATTACTTCAACGCTTACACAAGACCCATTGTTTCCACTCCTCCAAACGCCGAACTGGCGATGCCTGTCCCTGAGGCAGCTTCCAAATACTATTCACCTCTATTCGAAACCAGTTTCAACACTCGCAGACACCCAATCAACCGCCCCTGCACTACACTGTGAACTCGAAAATGCCCCCACGCTCAATTATCCAGAGAATTAACTGTGCACCAGACAGCATAAATAAGCACTATCGACGCAAGCAGCCACGCCTAAGCCACAACAGTTTCTCCTCGAAACCTCGAAGCGCACTCGAATAAAATATGGCAATGCGCACTGATCCTCGACTATCCAGTTCCACTGCGTTCCAGTACCAGCAAACCGCACTACTCTGACTCTAGAGTAATTTCAGCGTTTCCGAGGCGCACCTACACCGAGTGGGACTAAAATGAGCTTCGTCGTGCCAGACATGGCGTCGAGATCCAGCCGTCGTTCCGGGGCGTCGGGCCAGCGGAACTCGCCTGCTTCCCGGCGAAAAAGGAAGCCTGGCTGACTGGCTGATCCTTGCTTTGAACGAATCTCCGGAACTGAAAGTTGACGGACGTCCAACTCCGTCTTGATCTCATCGTCGCATGGGAACTCCGTCCATCCGTTCCCTCGCTGGGGATCGTACGTGGTCACCACCACTGAGAAGTCGAGTCTCAGGTGGCGGGAATCCGATCTCGTAGTGGTCGTCACAACCAATGTGGCTCACAGCGCGAGAAAACGGACTTTTGGGGACACGTCGTCTGAGCCATGCTAGAAGTTAAAAAATCAAAACAATGAACTTTAAACTATAAAAAAAAAAAAAAAAAAAAAAACAAACAAACAAACAAACAAAACAAAACGAAACAACACATGCTAAAAAAGTCTCAACCCACTTCGCAAAGTCTGAGAAAGAAGAAAGCAAGGAGCAAAGCAAGTTATGTCCCCACTATTGAGACAAAACTTAGACTATACATGCTAGGAAAACATAAGATATGAAAGGAAACCTCAAATTGTAAATGTAATGAAATGGAAATATGGGTATGTATTCAAAACGAGGCTGTTATTAGGGGGCGTTGAAAAGGATGTTTTTCTGATGCACTCCTGGTGACGAAGAAGAAGGGAGGGAGGGCACTTGGGAGCGAGGCCAGCCCCAGTACTTTTGTGGCAAGCTTTCATTCCCAATTGCACCTGCACCAGCAGCCCCCCGACCCCAGCAAGACCAGCGCTGACTTCTCCACCCAACTCCAGCAAGATCAGCACTGACTTCTCCACCTGACACGTGGCCCCTGCAGCATTCAAATTTTATGAATGTCCCACCATGCGGCCTCCAAGTTCCCGCCGTTTCCTGTGCTGCTGCCCTGGGGGCTTGCTCTCCCTCCCTCCCTCCTGCTCTTGGTTTTTTGTTGGCCCCTGCTGCTGCTGAAGGAAGGGGGGGGGGGTGCCAACCAGCGTTCGAAATTCATATCTCAACCCTGGAATGTCATAATGGATAGATCGTAGCCCTTGGATGGTGCTGGCCCCCCCTTCAACCCGTCTCACCTGATCCGGGTGGCCATGCCCCACTGGGTTTGTTGAATACCAGATTCAGAGGCCCTTTCCAGATAAATTTAAACTTGCATACTTATCACTTCCAGCCCTTGCATACATACACAATTTAAAGATATACATTGCTTTCGCCTTGAGCTTAAGAGCATGCATGTATCAACTAGCCACTTCAATTGTATACTCACATGGTCTTCTAAATATCAACCATACCTTCAAGCATAAACTTAGATAATGTATTAGATAATGTAAAGTTAATAAATTGTCATAAAGAACATTTATTATTGTTGGAGTTATGGTTTTGGCCATATATATTTATATTTATATGCATGTGTGTGTGTATATATATATATATATATATATATATATGTATATTTGTATGTATTTAAAACTATTAACATCAAAATAAATTCCAGCTCACTGAAGAGATGTTACAATCAAATACCTTGAAATCATTAACCCCATCTACTGTCAATTATACCAGAGTTTAGCATAACAGATTGAGAGCTCATTTTCATTAAACGTGACACACCAAAAAGCTCATATGAGGTGAACTCAACTGTACACTTTTGTGTATTGCATCTGTTTTAAAGGCTGGATTAGCTTGAAAAGCATTCATCGAGTGATTAGTCTGTATTCTTTTTGCAACGGTATAGCCGATGCTGTTGTTTCTATCACCGTAGGCAGGAGGAGAGACGAGCTTGGAACTCCGTCATGGACTCACGGCAAATGGCGGCTGATGCAAAGCTCATTCCGCCTCGCAAGATCTAAATGAATTTGTCTTGCCGGGAGCCATGACAGAGAATCATAAATTGCGGGAAAGGGCTCGAAGCTTTGAGAGACGGTCTGACCGACGAGCAACAGCAGCTTTTGATTCACATGGCCCCGGAGTCTCTCCGAATGCTGCCCAAACGAAAAGTGTTTAACAAAGAATGGATCTATCAAGCACCCGATCGTTTCAGACTCGAGGCTCACAATACAAGTAGCGCCGTGCGATGCGAACTCGTCAGGGAAGTGCTCCTGTTCGTCCCCTGGTGTGCGAGGATTGGCACGAAAGCCAGCCTGCGAATTCTCAATTGAAATGACTGCGCCACTCTTCCATGGCAGACAAGGTGCAAGGAAAGTGAGAACACAACACTTGAATATGTCACATAGATATATTTTGTAATTTCAGAGCGTAATATATACATCTTTGTCCTGTTCCACAACAACTGCCTCTTCCTCATATGATGTTTTAAACGGTAGGAGTAGTCTCCGCTGGAGGACCGAAAGCGCAAACTTGTGCGAATAGTGTGCAGAGTTGTGGAGCAATGCATGTAAGAACCACGACAGGAATGGCGGTCTAGGTTCTTGTGGCTGCATGGTTAAAGTTTCTTGAAATCATATACAGAAGAACCCTCTTACACACTCATCTCGTGCTCGTCGTAACTTCAGGTTAGAAACAGTTGTCGATATCTATAGAGGATACATGATTAAGATTCAGTTTATTAATAGAAGCAGTTAATTTTATGTTACCTGACAGAGCGTTTTATGGTGCAGAACAATGGTAGAGCAGCTGGATCAGCTGGACCCAGAGCAAATGAGTCAGAAGCTATGTCCTCTTGGTCAATGTTTATAACGCCCTCGTGATGCATGTAACTTTCATTAGCTTGTAAATTTAAGATTTATTTTATTTCATTCATTTGTAATAGCTGGATAGGGAACTGTGATTTTTAAAGGCTCATCTCAGCACCAAGTACTTTTGCTTATCTTTGTGTCGATGCCATATTTAACCTACAGAACACCAAGGAATAGTTTAAACGGGTTGTCGCTGCAACAAGAAGTGCTCGTCATTCCATCCCGTTCAAATCCAGTGACAATTGACGGGATAACGGGTTGTACGCTTCCAAGCCGCTTGCGAGCTTTGTGGTTTTTGGCGGTGGTCGCTCCGATCCTGCGGTGTATCTGCAACACAAAAACTCATTTGCCATTCTAAATCATTCTACTTCAGTATTCTTAAATTTCTTGAAGTGTCGCTTCTAAACATTTTGATAAACACCTTTTGTAATTTTATTGACTTTATCTATATATTGTGATAAACTAACAGTTAAGAGTATAATTTGTGATTGTTTTTGAAGTGAACAAAGTTAACCACAATTTATTACAATAGTATTTCACATATAACACTTTAAATGGACTCTGGTGGCTCTCATTCACCTCATGGATCAGTCTTTGTTTTCATCAAAAAACTTAACATTATCTGGAGTTTGAAAAGAAGCAAAAGCTTGACTGAAACTCAAGTGGAGTTCACATCAAAAACTTAACATTATATGGAGTTTGAAAAGAAGCAAAAGCTTGACTGAAACTCAAGCGGAGTTCACAGGGAATTCACAAGGAGTTCATAACTGAAACTCAAGCGGAGTTCACAGGGAATTCACAAGGAGTTCATAAGGCTTATTTTTTTTTTTTTTGCAATTTTGCAAGTGAATGCACTCAAGTAAAGTTCACAAGGAGTTAACAAGGAATTCATAGGATTTTTTTTTTTTTTTTTTTTTTTTTTTTTTTCTTTTCTTTTCTTTTCTTTTCTGCAATTCTATGACTGCATGTAATTGAAGCCACATTTTTTTTTTGCAACTACATGCAATTGAAGATGAAGTTCAATAATTTAGAAAAAAGTAAGCAATCAAATACCAGTGAGGTAAGGCACAAATTGTGAGGGGCAATTCATTTCATCACACTTTAAACAACACTTTAAACAAGGTAAAACTCCATCCACATTTTTGTCAATGATATTATAATCAATAACTTTATATTAAAAATATTGATTATTATCAACAATATTATATTATTGTAACAATCAATGACACAAGGAGTTTAGATGGATTTTTTTTTTTGCAACTAGATGCGATTGAAGGTGAATATGCAATTGAATGTGAGGCATATTCTATGAGAGAGGAGAAGTGATAGGAATGTTGCATAATAAAAACAAAATTTTATTCTAATTTATTTTAATAGGATTATTTTTCAATCTCAAGTGTGCTATGTGTTGCAGATTTAGTCAATTTACAACAAGGGTGGAGAATTAATATTTGTTGCTATATCATCTCTGTTGTTGTGGACTTTGCCTATTCCTTTTTGTCAATTTCAACATTATAACTGCCATAATAAAAGCGGCATTTTTTTTGATTGTTGGAAGACATTGTTCATGCACAATGGAATAAGGAATTATCTAAAATTGCACCTAGAAATTGTGATGAAACAAGAGTTGAGAGCATATCCAAAACTTATTTGAGAGCACTCTAAATTAGACATTATTCAAAGCTCAAATAGAAATGTTAATTAAATTGCATAGCCAATTGAGAGAAAATTTTGAATAATTATTATTTTTTAGTACTTTGGAATATAGGCATGAAGATTGAAAAAGAAGAATAATAACTTTTTTTAGGCCTTCTATAAAGAAACCATAAATAGAAGATTTTTGTACTTGACTTTTTTAATTCTACACTATACACATTTCATATCCTTTGACAATCATCTTTTTTTCATTTATAACAAAAGCTAAGATATCATTATTAAACATGGATTTATATAAGGATTTCATAAGAAATAAAGTTATTTTATCATTTTATTATTTTCTATTAATATTTTTTATTTATATAATTATATTTATATTTTATATTATATCTTTATTGTAAACAAAATTCTTAAGCAATAAAGTTTTATTAGAATTTTAGAAATATTTTCAACTACAATAAGAATTGCTATATAAAAATTTAATTATAATTTTTTATTTCTTTCTTTTATATATTAATTTTTATATTGAAAATTAAATATTTATAATTTTTATTTATTTATTTTAGTTTTTAATATGTAAAATTTTGAAAAAATTGAGTTTTTTGTTGTAGCAAGTTGTTATAAAAATATGTATAGTTAAGTTCAATAAAGATACATAGAT